GCAGGCTTAAAAACAGCATTGATTCCTTATTTCTCAAACAACAATGAAATCTGATTCAGAAAGATCATGTATTATCATTTTTTCTGGCTCGGCATTGTTTAGGAGCAATAGAAAAGAGCTGGACATGTGGTATGTTGTAAGGTTGCATTTGGGAGGGACTGTGTAACACGGAGGTCTTAAAGGTCCTGTATACTAGAAGCCAGGTATTCCAGGGTCTGTTTTCAACTTTACCACTGACTCAACTCTGTGACCTTTAAAACAAGTTTCTCTCTCTTGAGCCTTAAGTACACATCTGTGAAATGGGGAATAACACATTAGAGACTTAATGTCTGCAAATCATCTTGTTAGATTAAAAGCCCCATGGAAGTGCAAAGTACCTTCTTATCTGTTATCTACCGAGGCTTAAATAAGGTATAAGGTACAGTACTGACCTTTTTGTCATTAATATGCTGTACCCTTTTAGCAGTATTAAAAATTTAAGAGGAGTCTTAAATGCTTTGATTGATGTAAGACCACCAAGGAAGAATCAGGTGCTCAGTGATAGAAGTGGTTCAGTAAATGGCACTCATCCTGAATCTGTATGCAACCATGCAACTGTATGTCTGCTGGGTCATAAAGTCTAGTCCCCTGCACTCTAAAGCCAGTACATTACCTATCCCTTCCATAAACTGATCAAGCTCCAGGTCACTGAACCTTTGTGAGTAAGTGGGAAAGACTGAAATGTCAAACATTGTTTTAAGCGAAGCACAGGAAACATTGCTTTTTCCAGGTAGCACCGGTGTCATACATGATGATCAGCACCAGTCCCAAGCTCTACACAACTGGCAGCATGCCCCTGATGGCATTCCCCCTTGGAATGGCCCTAACTCTCACAATCCAGTTCTACAACAACATTGGGGAGAAGTTCCATGCCCAGAACACACAGCTCTACCTGGCTTTGAACAGGTACGGTCCTGAACGCATCGGTACAGAACTGCCTAAGGCAACTGAAAGAAACACAGGTAAAATGTTACTCTTACAAGTCATGGCAGAGGTAAAAGGTTTTGCATCTCAGGCCAGAGCCATATGTGAAGGCAGCTGTTCTGAAGTGAATAGCTAGTTCACTTTGCTCACAATACCACGCTGGCCCTTGGGACTATATACTTGAAATATGCTTCTTGTCTCCTCCAGGCATGTGAAGCTCTGCTAGTTTTCTTTTGATTGGCACTGTTTGCTTTCAGAGATGACCTACTGCTAATCAGACCTGGGAGCAAGAATTATACATACATTGCTCAGGCAGTGAACAGAGGAGTGACACTGCTGGGAATCTGGGATGCGAAGCATCCAGGCATGGCTGATTACATCCCTGTGCCTGTGGAGTATGCCATTGAGCCAGACATCTCCAAGCCCACCGCACTAGGAGATGTGATCTGTTTCAGCACGCCCCTTGTAAATCAAGAAGGTGTGTGCCATTTTTCTGTTCATCTTATATCATCATTTCTGACTACTGTGGTGTTTAGTAGTGTGACCTTGTCAGTGATCCTCTTACATTTTGCAAGCTAAGCCAAATGCTTTGAGGCTGGCTGTGTTGCACAGGGGGTGAACATTGAAGAGGTGTCAGGGATTCTGGGGAGGGCTGTCTTCCTTCCTCAGAGTCTGTCCTGACCTGATATCCCAGTGTGGCGTTAAGGTTTCCTGCACAGCTGAAGGTTCTGACTTTCAGGTGACACAAAAAATCATCAGAGGTTCATTATTACCCCCAGCATCCTGACCCCATTCTAACTCAGACATGCCTTAGTTCCTTAACTTCCTCACTCACATTTAAGTTAGTGCTGCTTCTATTTGCTACATTAAGTCTGCAACAGGATATGGGCCTGTGTAAAAGTCATAGCCCTGGATCTGAGTTTGAACAAGGTCTAGTACCAGGGGGGTCCATCAGTGCATGGTAAAGTGGATCTCCTTCAGCTTGATATGCCAGGAAGAGGCTTTCTCTTTGACCTGATTTCCAGTAGTACAGAAGGGCACATGAAGTATGTTGAATTGGTTGGTCACGCTGTCACCGATAAGGCTGTGTGTGAAGGGAATTGACCTAGCTTCTGCAATAAGCTCATTCTCTGGGATTCAGAAAAAAGTTGTGCTGAGCTTGGTGAAAACTTGGTCCCTGCCAGTATAGCCACCTTGTGATGCGGCAAAGGACTGGCTGAATCATTGCCCAGGACCAGAGAAGAACTGTTGTACTTTTCACTAAGGAGAAAAGACATGGCATCTGCTCTTGACACTAGCACAGAAACCCTAACACAAAAGCTCTAACAACCAGCTGATGACAAGGGGCATAACTCTTCTTGCCTTTTGCAATATTTTTACACAATTATGACTGCATGAGCTTCAGTGGGTCTGTTTGAGTAACTGCTACTGCCTGAACTGGTGCATCAGACCCAAGGTTTGCTGTTAAGAGAGAGCCTCCTATTATCTCAGGCTTCCAGAATTCAGATGTGGGCTCAGCCTTGCTGTCCTTGACCTTGACTCAAAAAGAATGTTTTGCACCTTTTCTTTCTATCCACCAATGTAACACTTTACCAGCCCTGCAAGAGGACAGGCTGCATAGAGGCTGTCTGCTTGTGTTCCTTATATAAAGAGTTTAGCAGCTGTATTAAAAGACTTGATTCCTAATGAACGACATCAGTGTGGCTGCAGGTCCAGTCTGATTAGTTTGTACATGGTAAATTAAAGTTTGATAGCATTTTTAGAACAAAGGTAACCAGAGAGCATTCCCAGGAATGCAAAAAACCTTTCCTTCACCCTATAAAACCTCAGCTGAGCATTCTCCTAACCCAGTGACCCCAAAAATGAACCCACAGGTTTATGGTCCTGTTTTATTCAAGTAAATATGATTTATGATCTGTCTGCCTTGGAGTACAAGCATACAGTAGTTCAGTGTATTCCACTGTGTGGGAGGGACACTTGCATAGTGTGAATATTTAAAAGGTTCACTCTATGAGCTCTAAAAACATGAGGTCCATGAGCTGATATTCACTGTAAATTCTCTGAACATGCTGTAGGGAAGAAGCGTCTGAAGTTTTTTCCCCAGCACATCCACTGAATTATTTCATGAAGTGAAGACCAACTGGCAGAATCTAATTTGTGACTTGTTTTTTATAGGAGAACCTGGGATGTGGCATATCTCCCCCAGTGGCATTCTTGAGATGGACTCAGTGAGTGGAGCAGCATTTGTGAAGAGCCCTGGGACTGCTACAGTCTTTCATGACATTCCAGGGATAGGGAAAACATACAGAGAGGTATTCATTGCAGCATACTCCAGCTGGAGAGGCAAGCTTGCTATTGTTCATGCCAAGGAAATTCTTCACGTGTATTAGTTTGTGAGCTGTATCCATAGTCAGCCTGCATTTATCTTGGAATCCTTCTGTTTTAAGAATGTGCAGTATTATATTAAACTGAAAGAGGCACAGTTTAATATAAAAGCCATAGACTGAATGTGCTGTTACAAAAGTATACAGAGCTTTTACTGTAACTGGAGATGGGATAATTGGCAAAACTGGATTCAGTTCCTAGGTAGGAAAATATGTCCTGCAAGTAAAGGATCTTTTAAAAATATGAGGCAGCGAAGGCTTGATTCTTCTATACATGAAAGTTCCTAAACACTCCTCTAGTACAGTAAAAGGGACCCTTTGCATTATTCTAGATAGAGTAATACATTTAGAGAGTGTACCCTAAATGAGAATCTGGCCCTACAGTCAACTTGCTTGACTCAGTAGCAGAAGAAAAGTTCCAACAGTAACCTCTTTGCGGTCCCACCACATGCCCTGTTACACTATTCCAGGTAGTTGTCAACAGTTCTTCAAGATTAAGCCCCCAGCTGGGTCCCAAAGGCTACCTGACCAACACGCCTGACTCTTCTAAACTCCAAGTCTTTGTTGCTACAAGCAGTGCAGAAGCAACGCTCAAAGGTAAGAGCTTCACTGCTTCTGAACATCTCCAGCTTGGCCCAAGCTGAACTTGCTGCAGTTCATTGGTTGATTGCAGTGTTTATTCTATGGGACAGCAGATGTACTGATTCCAGAGTAGCCCTCCTCAGTGATAAATGGAATTTCAGGATATAAGAGCAAATGAGGTGAACTGCAGTGCAGTCCTGGTAAATTCTACACTATGGACCACCTGCACTTCAAGTTTTTCTTCCAAAAATATGAGAATTAGTGATTTTCATTTGATGTGTGCCTTACCTGTTCCGTTGGCTTATCTTCCCTCCAAGTGCAACTCAGCTATCAGCAAGTGCAAGTGTGACATCTTAATAAAAAGGACATGGTCTATCTTACACTGTTAACAAGAATGTCAGTTTTCAGGTTTTAAGCTAGAAAAGCATGTTGTTTCATTTCAGATTTGACTTTTTACTTTGCCACTAAAACTCTTGTGTTGATGGTTATTCAGAAAGAACCATCTTTATGGCAGGTGTAAGATGGATAAAAACTATAGACTGGCACCTGAACTGCTCTATCTACCAAGGGAAATTTCCTTGCTAAGCTTCATAACTATCCGCGGTGAGGTTGAATTATTCGGTCTTCCATTTTTCTTTTCTAGGCCCCTGCAGCCCAGTTCAGATGTATGCAATCTCTAATCTTCTTCTCCCAGAGTCTCACCTGATGTGTCAAGTTGAATTCAGCAACCCAATGTTTGACATTCCAGCAAGTAAAGTCTTCAGTATCCAGTCGAAATTTAGCATTGAAAGAGGTAGGCAGGACCCGCTTGAGCTGAGTGGGGAAAGAAATGGTGAATGTTTTGATTTTTTTTTTTTTTTTTTTTTTTTCCTTCCCATGACATGCCTTTTTCTCCACAAATACCACCTCTGCACACTTGTTGGCTCTAGTTAAGAATATATGAAGTCAGTGCTCCCTTCCCATCACATTCCTTCCCCTTGTTAGAATGTGTAGTCCTCGCTACTGATAGAAGGGCTATGAATTCAAAGTAATCAAACACAACTCTCTGAATGCTTATTGTTTGGTCTTGACTTTAGGTCTGTATGCCTGTCTAATCACTGCTAAGCCCCAGTCTGATGAAGTCCGTCTGGCTTTGAGTTTTGCTGAGGCCTCGGTGTATGTGATGGTCTCTCTCTCCAGTCAGCGGAGCAAGGACGGAATGCAAAGAATCCTGGTTCCTTTCCTTCCGGCATTTTACATCAACCAGTCGGAATTGGTTTTTAGCAGCAAACAGCTCAGTGGCGAGATAAGAGTGCTGGGAACTGAGAAAGTGTTAGAAAAGCTGCAGGTACATGAGGCCTTTTCTCTGTGTCACCATTCTTGGGAACACACATTACCTATTCCTGGGGAATAGATATGCATGCTAAACAGAAGGAATAAAAGTATCTCACGTCCCCAAGGCTTAGTCTGAGCAGTCAGTCCTATGGAATCAACATAAAGAGATGGTGGATTGTGTCACTCTGTTTGGAAGCAGTTATTTTTGGAGGAATTGAAAACTCCCATTCTCATATCAAGAGTGTGGGGTGGGAACTGGGCAAGGAGCCCGTTACAATCACCCTACTCCACGGCAATTATGTGAGAGAACTATTGCTTTTCTGTAAATAACCTCACTGCTCTGTCCCATACACAGATGTAGACCTTCTCTGATGTTTCCGTTTAAATACCTTTCTTTCTCTGTTCTCAAAGGTTCATCCCAGCTCTCCTGCAATAATAGTGAAGCATCCTGAATACACACCCGACATGCCTGGGCTTGTCTCCTACCCCATTAACGTGGCCAACCTCACATCTCTCCGGCAGAGGGCAGCACCTGTCTTCATCAACATCTCCTGTGTCCTCACAGGCCAAAGAGGTGCAGTAGAAGTGAAAGTTTTGGCAGAACAGCACATGTTTGGTGAGCATCTACTGGTCTGGTGGGTCCAAGGGGGATGCAGCAATTGTCAGAGCTGTGTGCTCCAGGACGTATTCTAATGCTTCCCCAGGCCAGCCTCCACTCTGGGGCAGTCAAGGGAAATGAGGACCCTTCCCAGATCTGACCCTGCTGGGGCATTGTATCCCTACAGCTCTCACTGATCATAGGGGGAATTGAGTTGTCCAGGAACTGAGTGCACCAGGAACAGGCCTTTGGGATGCTAAAGCAGCAACCACGGGCCCGCCACCGTGTTCACTTCAAGTGAAAACTCAGTTGGTCCCTCTGGACCCAGCCCTGCTCTGCGGGAGTGGAGCTGAACTTGTTGCATGGGGCAATAAGGAGAGGGAGAGGAGGAATTGTCCTGAACTGTGAGTCTTAGTTCTCTAAGTGACTGGTTCCAGCTGGGTCCCAGGTTGATGGTGATGGGAAGCAGTTCCCGTCTGACTGTTCTCAAGGCATCTGCAAGTGCAGTCAGTGTCTTCATCTCTTAGGGACAGAGGGCAGCCTCAGCAGAGAAATGAAACTACCCCCTTCCCAGAGGCAGTAGCCCCTCAAGTCATGGCTGAGGCACTTGGACCAAAGTCCTGTGGTGGAAGGCTTCCCTTACGCTACTTGAGATGTGCCCTTTCCCTAGAAAGGGACTTTTTTCTTCTGGGTTTCAGCAGCAACTTTCCCTTAAAAGAGAGAGTGATTTTTGAAAAGGTTCATTAATGTTTGTTTTGTTGAGTGAACTAACTGAAGTTGAACAAAGAAATGTCTAACCTTTTTTTTTTTTTGTAACGCTTTGTTACAGCAGGCACACAGGCCTAAGCATTA